CGATAGACAGACAGAGAGACAGACAGACAAGAAACAGATGAAGTACTAAAATACGTATACTGACTGCATAGCAGGAAGAAGCAACTTTCTTAGGTCACCTGGCCAACGAGACATAGAGCCAGAACATTACACTTTACTCTTACCCATCCTCTATTACCTAAAGGGTGGAAAGTGCTAAATTCTCAGAAGACAGAACTACAACAGCTATTAATCATGGAAGGCCACCATCAAAGAGTCAGACGCAGAAAGAAATCCAATATTGAACATAACTGAAAATTTCAACAAAGATAAGCCACAACTGATGGACAGTGCTTTAAAAATTATACCTTATTTATTTATTTATTTATGCATTCATTCATTCATTTATTATTTTGTGTGTGCACATACATGCATTTACAAAAATGCTATGATGCCTGTGCAGAGGTCAGAGGCCAACTTATAGGAGTTGGTTTTCTCTTTCACTATGGTCCTGGTGACCAAACTCAGGTTGTTGGATTTGACAAGTGCCTTTACCTTCTGAGCCATCTGCTGAACCTCAATTCACAGCTTTTAAAAGTGTTACATTATTATTATTATTATTTGGTTTATGGGTGTTGTGTGCATGTATGTGTACTACATATGTGCAAACGCCTATGGAGGCCAGAAGAGGGCACCACACTCCTCTGGACCTGAGGTTATTATAGACAGTTGTGATCCTCTGTGGGGGTGCTGGGAAGTGAATCCCAGTCCTCTGAAAGAGCAGCCAATGCTCTTAACTGCTGGGCCATCTTACCAATTCCAGAGTTACATTTTTTTAACAATGAAAAACTTCTCCTTTAACTAACAGGGCCCATTCAATTCAACTAAAATTTGCTGTGCACACTAGACACTGTAGATCCAGATGAATGTTCTCTCATAGGGCCCTTGAAGCTTTAGTGGAGATGAGGGCTTAGATTATTCCACTATAGGGAAGGCATAAGATGTGCCTAGCGATTTCTCAACCAAGTGCTATGGGAGCATTTATGAACAAAACAAATGGTTCATCAAATCCCTTTCCTCCAGGAAGGTTCCCAAAGGGAGCAGTTTTTCTTTGGGCTCCCTTCTACAGCCATGAGTAAAGAAAACTGGTTGTAACATGTAGCTTATCTGGGAAAGTATCTGGACCCACAGGACAGGATATTGTCACAGACCTATCTATCTGTTACCATGACTGCAAGTCAAACCTCAGCAACCCTCATGCTGCCACTCAGGGCATGTTTGATGCAGCAAGCACCACACTGGAAGGTTCAGTGCCATGGACACTGAAGGAAACAAGGAATGCCTGTTTTCCCCATAGACTCGTAACTCCTAATAAGAATCCAAGGTTCCATGTTCCACAAGAAGCAGACAGCATCGAAGCAAAACACCTTCATGAGGAAAACCTCACATTGTTGCCATAGCTGCACTGATTCAATACAGGAAGGACAGCACTTCAATAAATTTTTGCCAAAGTAAATGTCTGACTGGAAAAATGGGATGCTGTTTTTGTGTAGGTCAGAATTTCATACTTGTCTGGCACTTCCAATAAAATGTTATACAGCTTTTATTATTATAATAAAAAATATCAAATAGAGAATAAAGAAAATACAAACTATTGTGAAATATAAAAACATGGTGGTTTCACTATAGAAAATTAAACTGCAAAAGATGAAGAAAAATAGTTAAGAGGCTGCCATATTTAGAGGTGAGAAGGTTGTAAGGCATCAGAAAGCCCATCTAAGCTGTGCTTGTAAAACCAAGGATGAAATTAGAAGGTTTAACAAAAATCAGATGTGTGAAGAAATCTGTTATTTCAAAGGAGGAAGAAAATAGCTGGGCTATCGTTTATCACAGTAAAACACAGCCTATTTAGGAGAAAGAAAAGTGAGGCTCAAATTGATGAAGTCAAACAAGAAAGGTAGTTTATAAAATTCTTGAGTCTCTGCAAGCTCTCTCCTTTCCTACTCCCGACTACAGTATTCTTTTACAAACAAAAACAAACAAATCACTACTACCAGAACAATTCATTACTGAGAACCTAAGAATTCTGCAGTTTACCATGACTTAAAACAAGTTAAAAAAAAAAAAACTTTAAGAATGTCTGGTGAGCCCATAGCAACTTGCACACTTACATCTGTCTATAAAATACAATGCAGTCTTCTCAGTATTTAATAAGCAATGTCACAAGATAGGAGAAGAGAACTCATGAAAATGGGATCCTGGCACAAACCTCAACACTCATTACATGTTTATAAAAACCCCTGCTCTCAGAAAACAAAACAACCAACACTGAGAGACGGTTTCAATCTAATTATATTATGAAAACAAAAGTAACAACAGGAAATCACAGCAGGGCATCTGATCAGCTCAATTAGCAGGAGAACCAGATAAAGTGATGGCCTGCCATTATGACCTCAGGGGTTAAAGATCCAATTTTCCATCTGGCAAAATCTAGATTTCTAACACAGATGCTGATTCCACATGCTGAATGGTATCAGGTGTTGTCTGGAGCAACCCTGAGCATCCTCCAGCCACTTTCACGCTGCACTCTAATGTAATTGCTTCCTTGTGAACAGAAATAAGAAATAAATTCCGTATCACGATCATTCCAAGAGGTATTAAAAGGCATTACAGCAGTAAGAGAAGCCTTGCTTCTCTCCCTTCTTGGTCAGCACTGACACAACACTGTGCCATCATGCTCTACAGCACCCAGAAACTGTTCCAATCAAGAGCTCTGTAAATCTCAACAAACAGCCCCTTGCTACTGAAGTGGATCACTGGCTGTGCCTGATGAGAAGTAGATCTATGTACTCAAGTCCTTCCTCACATACAAATGCACTGTCTTTTTAAGTTAACAGTCAGCTGACTTTGCTTCCTTGATTGAAGCAATGCTAAACGGTTTTACAAATCAAGAAAATGTCACTCAGCAAGTGCTGGGGCCTATTTGCGAGTGTTCAGACTCTTCAATACCTATGCTGCAAGACTAAAGTTTTTCTTACACTTGGAAACATGAACTTGGTAAGTCAGGGGTCAGTGGACAAAAGCACAGCTCTTATTTGCATTACACTTAAATCTTGTGACTTTTACACATGCAAATGTCAGTGCACATGCATGTACACACAGTCCCACCGCAGGTATAGGTCTAAGTATCTGGTCTTGAGACTTCCATTCAGAACAGAGGTTAGCAATTCTGTGTGCACACTGTTAGGGTTTGACTCCAGAAGGCCCCACAGTCTCATCTGCCTTAGCACTTGTTAAGGTTAAAGGACCACCTGGAGACTATGGAGCCTTTAGAACTACATAGCTCTGGGACCCAAGCTATTAGGAATGGTCCTTTGAGAGCTACAGCCTGGCCCCACTTTCTCCTCATCTGATAAGACACGAAGAAGCCATGCTGTAAGTTCACACCACATCGACCCTAGTCACCATGCCTTCCCTGCCATGTACCCTCTAAACCAGTGATTCTCAACCTTCGTAATGCTGTAACTGTTTAATGCATGACAAGATCTGGGATGTCTTTCTGTATGTGCGTTGCTTTTATTGGTTAATAAATAAAGCTGCTTTGGCCTATGGCAAGGCAGAATATAGCCACACTGGAAGAGATACAGAGAGAGAGTAGGCGGAGTCAAAGAGATGTCATCTGCCAAAGAAGGATACATCAGAACCTTACTGGTAGGCCACAGCCTCATGGCGACACACAGATTAATAGAAATGGGTTAATTTAAGATGTAAGAGTTAGTTAATAAGAAGTCTGAGCTAATAAGCCAAAGAGTACTGTAATTAATATAGTTTCTATGTGATTATTCGGGTCTGCATGACCAGGAACAAAAGAACAGTCTCCGCTTACAATGTCACCCCAACCATAAAATTATTTCCATTTCTATTAATCTGTGTATCGCCATGAGGCTGTGGCCTACCAGTAAGGTTCTGATGTATCCTTCTTTGGCAGATGACATCTCTTTGACTCCGCCTACTCTCTCTCTGTATCTCTTCCAGTGTGGCTACATTCTGCCTTGCCATAGGCCAAAGCAGCTTTATTTATTAACCAATAAAAGCAATGCATATACAGAAAGACATCCCAGATCTTGTCATGCATTAAACAGTTACAGCATTACGAAGGTTGAGAATCACTGGTTTAGAGGGTACATGGCAGGGAAGGCATGGTGACTAGGGTTGATGTGGTGTGAACTTACAGCATGGCTACTTCATCACTGTAATGAACTGTAATGTAAATATTTGTCTTCCAGTGGTCTTAGGCAACCCCTGTGAAAAGGTTATTGACATAGGTCATGCCCACAGGATGAGAACTATTGCTCTAAACTGTGAACAGAAAGAATTATCCCTCCCTTTAGTTGTTTCTGCCAGATATTCTACTATAGCAACACACATGCCATAAATCATATATACATATACACACACACACACACACACACACACACACACATATCAAACCAATCTCTTTTATCCACCTATACCTATCTCTCTAAACAATTCACCAAGCTGCCTATCTTAACAAAGCCTAGACATCCCTCCCTGTGTGTATGTGTGTGTGTGTGTGTGTATGTGTGTGTGAGAGAGAGAGAGAGAGAGAGAGAGAGAGAATTTTTATATTTTCTCCCTTTCTCTGAGAAAGTCTTTCTACGTAGCCCAGGTGAGTCCCACATGCCCCTGCTTAGAATCCAGCTGTTTCTAAAGTGTTAGGTAGCTATATGGGTTTCTTTCACATTAAGATTTACTCTCCAGCCGGGCGATGGTGGCGCACGCCTTTAATCCCAGCACTCGGGAGGCAGAGGCAGGTGGATCTCTTGTGAGTTCGAGACCAGCCTGGTCTACAAGAGCTAGTTCCAGGACAGGCTCCAAAGCCACAGAGAAACCCTGTCTCAAAAAACCAAAAAAAAAAAAAAAAAAGATTTACTCTCCAGGTATTTCTTCTTCTTCCTCCCAGGTAAGTGGTGTTTTACAAACGCAAGTTCATACAAATTGCCCAGGGACACAAAACTTACTTGGCCTTCTGAATCCATACACAGTAGTCTGAGATGTAGAGATCATTCAAAATATAGGCTGGGTCATTTTCCTGAAAGATTTTGTGAACATCCAGAAGACATTTTAAAACTGCACTCTTACCTGAAAAAAATTTAAAACATCCAGTCAACCTTAAGGAGGAAAAAAAAAAATCTGATTTCTTAACTAAGAAATTAAGATCTTGGAGGGAAATGCATTTAAAACAGCTCAGAGTTTTAATAGTTTCTTAAGAATATTTTAACTTATGAACTACCTCTCTAGCCCCTTAGCTTTTATTTTTGAAACAGTCTTACTATGCTACCCAGGCTGTCCTTGCACTTGTGATCCACCTGCCTCTGCTGAGCAGCTGGGGTTACAGGCCTGCACTGCCTCCTGGCTCAAAAGCACATTTTGAAAAAAAGAGAACTTGTATTTAAAATGGTGGTGCCCAATACATAGAAGAGATGCGTACGTTAGCAGGTTCACTTTCAACAACCTGAAGTGTGTGCACAGCGCAGAAGTGTTCACTCAGTTTCTTTCCCTGCCGCTTCTTTAACCCACACAAAATCTCCATCCTTTTCACTTGGCAATACCTTATTCCTGCCCTCTTTCCGGCCACCAGAGTCCACATCCTTTCACACATCCATCATCTCATGTGTAGAATCAAGAATTCTTCCCCATCTTTGGTTCTAGACTCTCCAATGGGTCACACATTTTGTGATATGTTGTCCACCCCACCCCCTCGCGCGTGTTTTCAAGACTCTTCATGGCATCCTCTAACTTATTCCTCTTTTCTACTTGACATAACTTGTCTAGCAAGTCTTGGGTCCTTTCAGCAAACCTCAGTCCATATCCCTTTACTAAACCCTGCAATGGCAATGGCAAGGAAGCCAGGTGATGATCCTCCCTAAACCTCCCCTGCTCACTTCATAGGAGAACCCCAGCTGCCAGGATGTAAGAGCCATGGAGACTATTCCAACCTCAGTGGTGCCACAGACCACCCACTGTGCCATGCTACCTATACACTCTTGGGTCACTCAGTCATAACACATTTTATTAGTCAAGAGTTAAGTCCTTGGAAACACAGGTCAGGCCTTTCCAGGGTTAACTAGGCAGTGTCCTAATATGCAGACAATGAAAGTTCCATTGCTAGCCTACAAAATGAGAGAGCCGTGTAATGCTTAGCAAGCTCAGAACTACAAGACCCCAAGTTCATCTAGTTAAGTCAAAGAAAGACTTCATTGTGACTAAGATGGACACCTCCACTGCCTGCCTAAATACGAAGTAGATAATGTGGATGGGAGAATTTCAAGAAAAGAGGAGGAAATAAAAACAGAGCACATACCTGTGGTGAGACCAGTGTCACCCCAAAAATCCCAAAGGTGAACTGAACCTGGAAGAATGGTTGGAACAGTTCCAATGCCAACGGGATAAAAAGTGTCCCACTAGGCACACATGAACTGGTTCCCTTCTGATTTTTCTATTTCGGTGAAGAGCATGCAGAAGGAAGGTGTTAAGATTGTGATACCGGCAGTCCTAGCTTGTTTCTATTGCTGTGATAATGACCATGGGGGCATGGAGGCGGGAGGTTAACTTGGCTTAAACTTCTTTTTTTTTTTTAATATTTATTTATTTATTTATTTATTATGTATACAATATTCTGTCTGTGTGTATGTCTGCAGGCCAGAAGAGGACACCAGACCTCATTACAGATGGTTGTGAGCCACCATGTGGTTGCTGGGAATTGAACTCAGGACCTCTGGAAGAGCAGGCAGTGCTCTTAACCACTGAGCCGTCTCTCCAGCCCCTTGGCTTAAACTTCTACATCACAGTCCATCATCAAAGGGAGCCAAGGCAGGGGCTCAAGGCAGGAACCTGAGACAGACGCTGAAGCAGAAACATAAACAACACTGTAACTTACTGTCATGCTCAGCCTGCTTTTTCATATAACCCAGGACCACCTGCCCAGGGGTGGCACCACCCACAGAGGGCTGGGGCTCACCCCACCCATCATTGATCAAGAAAACATTTTTGTCCTAATGCTAATCTGATGGAGGCAATTCCGCAATTGCCCGTTCCTCCTCCCAGATGACTCTCACATGTGTCAAATTGACAAAAAAAGCTAATCAGCACCCTGACTGACTGACTATAAAGAGTTTCAAGTAGCAATCACAGGTCTGTGCCAGAAAACCATTCACGTGTAACTTGACTCTACATCTTTACAGGGTGACAGTCCCAGAACATTCCTTCCCAAGATCTCGTACCTTCCTAATATAACCAGATGAACAGAAAATACAGGGTTTAAGGTGGTAGGGAAGGTACTAGTCCATTCACTGAATCAACAGATGAGCCCATTGTGTGCCTAGCACTGGTCTACATGGAGGAGCACAGTTATTCATTATTTATACCTCTTCTTTTTCAAAATGTCCACCAGACACATGCAATTTGTTCAGCAAAAACCTGGACACACTCTGCTACAGAGCTCTCAAACACTGACAGAGGAATGCTACACATTGTGACTCATATGCACTTAAGCAACTGACAAGCAATCTTCAGATGACGTTTTCAAGCAATCATATGCAAGGGAGTTTGGGGAAATGGGAGTCAGAAGCTCTCTTCAAAAAGCTGTGTATTAACAAGCCTCACCAAAACTAGTTTTACAGAATTTTATGTCATAGCATGGAAAAGAGAGCCAGGCTGGTTGCAGCTGACAATCTAAGAGAAGCACATTAAAGTAACCCTCCCTCCAACCCGCTATTGTCATCTGAGCCCCTTTGGTTTCTCAAGCTAGCAGCCAGCTTCCCCACAGCAAGCACGGCATCACAGCTAGGGGTTTACATACAGGGGGGTAGCTGGGGTTTTTAACATCTCGTTTGTACCAAATTCTCTTTCTGTCCTGTCCTCGGCTACTTATTCAGCAGCTATCCACAAAAGAAAAGACTAGTCCTTTTCTAGGCTGTCACATGGCTGGTGACCAGAAGCTTACAGGGACGCAAAGTCCCTGCCTCCTGTGGGGCTTTTACCCAGTTATGGTCTTGTCACACATGCCATGAGCATAAAAACCTGCTCAGGCCTAAAGCTAAGACAATTATTTTGGCTCAAAAGCACTGCAGGAAAGTGACCATTTTTCAAGCGGTTCACTGCCTGCTCCAGAGTATAAAAAACAAAGGTACCTTTTGCACAGTAACCACGGTAACTATTTTCACTGTAGGAAGGAGCTAGCATTTGTCCCCAGGATATCAAATGGCCCTAAACTCAGAGATTCCCTAGGACTGATTGGCTGGATAAGCCAACCCTAACCATGCAAGAATGTTGTCCCTGAATCTAGGGCCTTTTACTCACCCATGAAGGCACTAGAAACTAGTGTCCTGGGATTGTAAGTGACAAAAGTCATGAATGTTCTACTTCACTGGAATGATTGTCTAATGATGGCACACAGAAACATAATGACAACATGAAGAAAATATGGAGGGCAATAATAAGTAGGTGGCCGGTAAACACGATTTAAAATGTTCTCTGACTTTTCCTCCTATTAGCAGACCAGGCTGGGCAATAATCTCTCAGCGACAAACCAGCTTGTGGCTGAAGATATTTAAGAAATTGGTCCCATCCCTAGAAGAATCAGAGTAGGAGATGCTTTTGCTGGTTAGGTGCCAGAATAGGAAGAATAATGCAAGCTGCTATCTACACCTAAGACGATCTCAGTTTCTTTCCAATGGGCATATGCAGCTTTCGGAATACCCATGCACATGCAGGTCAACCTGCACTGTAATGCAAGCTGCTATCTACACCTAAGACGATCTCAGTTTCTTTCCAATGGGCATATGCAGCTTTCGGAATACCCATGCACATGCAGGTCAACCTGCACTGTTATCAACCTCGGGTGGTGTTCTCCAGGAGTCACCTTCCTTGGTTTTTGAAACAGTGTCTCTCTGCTCAGTGAGTAGTCAGTGCAGGCCAGTGACTGGAGGGCCAGGGAAGAACATTAAATAGCCTGCTCTGTCACTCTATTTTATTCCCTACAGACAGGGTCTCTCACTGACCCTGGCAGCTAAGCCCAGACTTTTTATAAGTGTGCCAGGCATTTAAACACAGGTCCTCATACTTGCTCAGCAAGGGTCCATTCTGGCAAAGCTGCCTTCTTGATGTTTTAAGCTACACAAAACAAGAAGTCAAGAAAGGAAAAGAAGACTTTAAAGTCTTGACAGAAAGGCTGCCTCATTGATATTTATAAAATGTATCAGAGTAAAAGCCAACAGTATTTATCATCTTTAAACACAATTTAGCAGATACCTGGGTAAATTTCTTAGAGTCTGGTGAGACAATATTATCAAAAGAGATATCTTAGCAATTATTTTAACATTAATTTTCATAGCTCATTTGAGCCTAAAAAGGGAGAAGATAGAAAGAAACACTGTGTCAAATCAGTCAAAATTAAGAGAAACAAAATGGGGTAATTTGCTTCATGATGAAGCCCTGTTAAGATGCAGAATAAAGTCCCTAATAACAAAATGCTTCTCAGTCTGGGTAAGTCTTTCACACCCTCAAATTCCACGTAAGGGTTCTGCATTGTAAGAAGCACATACCTAAAATGAGCTAGTCTCGTAGGCAGAGTAAGGCCAGTTTTAAAAAAAACAAGCAAACCATCCTTTGCTATTACAGTTACACTACACACAGTATCCACACATTAACAGGAATTAACAGGAAGCAAGAGTACGCTTTATAGGTGGTCCTGCCTGAAACAGATTCAATCCAGTGTCTAATTTTCCATCCAAGTATCAATTCAGGCATTCTTTTTTTCTGGCAAGAGAGTTCCAGCTCTCCCCCAGGCCTACTTCAGGTACCCCACAATGCCTGGCACACCTCTCCAGTTAGAGCCAACATGTACATCACATACTAACCCTACTAAGTTAGGCACTTCCTTTATTTGTTTCACAAATAAGTGAATGATTTGGCCCAATCCCAGCTAGGATTTGAAATTAAGCATGTCTGACTCTCAACCACTATGACATAAACAGTATCTGAATTCATCACCTTGCACGGAGAACTCCTAGGCAGGAAAGGATGTGACTTTTCATTCTTTAAACTGGAACAATGTCCAGAAAACCCTATGTTCCTGTTCA